GGTAAACAATTGTAATGATTAGAATACACAGATTCATCAGTTCGACACTCTACCAGTAAACAATTGTAATGATTAGAATACACAGATTCATCAGTTCGACACTCTCACGGTAAACAATTGTAATGATTAGAATACACAGATTCGTCAGTTCGACACTCTCACGGTAAACAATTGTAATGATTAGAATACACACCTTCATCAGTTCGACACTCTCATGGTAAACAATTGTAATGATTAGAATACACAGATTCATCAGATCGACACTCTAACGGTAAACAATTGTAATGATTAGAATACACAGATTCATCAGTTCGACACTCTCACGGTAAACAATATTTTCACCAGTAATGCCAATAACATTTTACGAGGTTAGTCCTAAATCCCTATACTAAGCTAATGATGCAAAATAACTATGACAAACATAATTATTATAAATTATACATTTTAACCAATACTTTTAGTAACACTAACATTAAAACAATAACTTATAAAACACATAAAAACTATTTTTTTTGTTTCATGTGTTAGCACTCATTTCCTCTCCTCAGTTATGTATTAGTTACATCTAATGAAGAAAGAATTTATTTTTAAAGATACACCAACACCAGATACAATATATACTTACCTCTAACAGAACAGTCCATGTTGGGTTGTCCTTTGCAAAAGCACAGACTTCCCCCAATACCGCTATTAGTCGTCCTATGCTGCGCTGTGCTTGAGAAACCCACTGCAAAATAAGGCCATCTACCTGTTTTTCAATACCCTGAAAGACATAAAATATACCAGCTACAGTCAACCAGGCAAGATAAAAAATATATTAATTGTATTCATTATTTTCAACTGGAAATGGCACCACATGCAATTTAAGATCTAAGCAGTCAAGTCGGAGACAGGATATACGCATCTCTAATTCATAGCTACAGATCGGGAGGATGTCGATCAGCCTGCTAGCATTTGGATATTCTCAACTGAATAAGAGTTTGACTGTCACTTATAATGCCCTTCACAGATTAAGTCTATTAATCATAAGTTGCGTAACTTGGACCTTCCAATCCACAGCCCGGCATGCTGATCAATATGTCATGCTTAACCCTATTTTACTTGAAAGTATTTAAGTTTGAACACCAGTAAAATGATATTGAAGGTTTTTGAAAGAAAAAAAAAGACCCTGGAAACAAATTGTGATACAAACATAGGCAGCAAAATTAGTAGTGGGTTTTATTATAAAACAGATATAATGCAACTTCTTGATGTACATTGTTCATACCAATGAAAACCATTATCTTGGATTTTTCTATATTTTTATGATAAAATCTGAAGTCTCTAAATCTTTTGGTGTGTATTACCTGAAGAATAAATGCCACGGCATTAGCAATCTTTGCCTGAGCTTCGTAGACTCGATGGGTGATACTGTCAAGGTATCTATCTTTGTACTGAGTAGAGGCTCTAGGTGTGGCATGGTTCTTGTGGCAGATAATGTAGCAAGTGACGCTGTTTACGAGACAATGAAGCATGGTGCTGACCCACTGTATGTTTTTTTGCATTGATTCTGTGAGAAATAAAGATAATTTGTTCAGAAACTACTGCAACAAAACATAGTAGAAAAATCTGTAACACACGAATAGCACAAAAGAAAGATTACGTTTTTTAAAGTCTCCACTAAATTAAGAAACAGCTGAAAACTGCAATAGTTGTTTGTCGGTGCAAAGCTACACAATGGGCTGTCTGTGCTCAAGAAAACAACAACAGAAGAATGATTGTGAAAATAAATTAATTTATATAAAACATTTATGATAGTGCAAATATTACATTGAATTCTTGGAAGTTATCATCATCACTGACAATAGTTTAAAACTGTCAACGTATACTTAAAAAATGAGATAAAAAAAGACAATTGATATAAAAAAGGTTAACAGTTTTTGTAATCATTGTATACTTAATAATGAGATAAAAAAGACAATTGATATAAAAATATATGAAATTTTACAGCTTAATGCAAGTATTTTTTATTCTTCCCTGAATGAACTTCATCGACTATCTCATAATCTTTCTTTACTTTAAAACAAATTTACTTACCATTATCTCTCAATAAAGCAGGTTGGTCAAAGGTTATTTCCAGCTGACCTAGGTCAGTAACTAGTTGGTGAGCAGCCAAGAGAACACGGTCAAGCAAAGTCCCTCCTCTTGTAGTGGTCACCCCTATGGATGTAACATGCATGCAGCATACAATTTAACATTTTTTAAAATTACTTATTCTTTAAAATCAAATCATGCAACTGTTATCCAAATTATTATTAACAACCAATATCATTAATGCTACATTAACAATTAAATTTAAATTATTTTTTGAAATCTCTTTCAACTAAAAAAAAAATTTAGAATGTAGAGTTGGAATTTTTCTTTCAAAACAAAGCATACAAAGATAACGAATACTAAATACATATTTAAAACAAAGCATACGAAGATAACGAATACCAAGTACATATACACAAACACACTTTCAAAACAAAGCATACAAAGATAACGAATACCAAATACATATACACAAACACACTTTCAAAACAAAGCATACGAAGATAACAAATACCAAATTCATATTCAAAACAAAGCATACAAAGATAACGAATACCAAATTCATATTCAAAACAAAGCATACAAAGATAACGAATACCAAATACATATACACAAACACACTTTCAAAACAAAGCATACAAAGATAACAAATACCAAATACAAACACACTTTCAAAACAAAGCAAACAAAGATAACGAATACCAAATTCATATTCAAAACAAAGCATACAAAGATAATGAATACCAAATACATATTTAAAATAAAGCATAAAATAACGAAAACGAAATACACATTCACAAACACACTTTCAAAACATAAGATAACAAATACTAAATACATATTTAAAACAAAGCATACAAAGATAATGAATACCAAATACATATAAAAAAACACACATTCAAAAAAAAGCATACGAAAAAACAAATACCAAATACATATTCGAAACACAGAACTAAAATAAAAATTAACAACCTTGTAGCTCTTCTGTGAACTTACAAAAATGATCATAAAAATATGAAACTCTTTCCACAAGGAACTGCTAACAATACGCACCAGAAAGTTGCTCAGCGAGCTGCGAAACCATAACCCTACAGTTTTCAGCAATCGATTGGGTTACTGCTGTTGACAGACCATGAGCAGAAATGTTTCCACTACTTCTTCGTTGCATTCCTTGATGTTGATTTAAATATAAAAACAAACAGCAAAATGAGGAAAAGTACTTTTATAAACATCCTGTTTTTTTCAAACTTTTTTCATTACCTTCCAACTTTGTGAACTTACAAAGTTTTATTTTCCTTTCGTAGTTATCTCAATAAACTATTTCAAAACTAATTGAGACTGTTCAGTTAAAGTTTAATAATATAAACAGTAAAAACATTTAATATTTTCAGGAAAAATTCATTATCCCAAAATGACTGTATACAATCTTACTTGATCCAAACGCTATAGCCATTTAATGATAATTTGAACCTGCTAAAGTTATTATTGTAGTTGGGTTCTTGTAATTTATTGCTTAAGTAGCGTGAGCCAGTATTTACTGTATATATATATACACTACAATAAATTTCAGTCACATTTTCTGCTAGTCCTTACCGATTATCTTGAGTATACGTTTAAATGTTATATTTTAAGAGACCCGAGTTTTATTGGAAACATCAAATTGATGTTTTTTTACACAAAAAAATCAAAATTTAAAAGTGCATTGCTTCCATAACAGATTTCTAAAAATTCTTCCAACTGAAAGTAACTTTCGGAATTTCCAAGCTGAGTGGTGTCTTGCACAATAAACGGACATGTCGGAAACACCGAGGGCTCGGGTGTAGACATCTCTAATTTTTAACAACTAACAGCCACTCAATAGTACCTGTCTTTGTCCCACTATTTAAACCAATTAATGACATTAACTGTTACTTTTACAATGCACACACACAGCTGAAAGATTAAAGCATGCTTCGTGAATCACACTTTCAATACGCAACCTGCAATATTAACCACTAGGATACAACCAGTCTTTTTATGGTACCTTAATAGGTTTATAGAATATGTGACTATAACCACTAGGATACAACCAGTCTTTTTATGGTACCTTAATAGGTTTATAAGATATGTGACTATAATCACTAGGATACAACCAGTCTTTTTATGGTACCTTAATAGGTTTATAAAATATGTGTATATACTTATACAAGGATAATTACCAATCTTGTTATCAGATTCTCTACATCTGGTAGTGTCACCACTGCTACTGGACTGGTATATACTTATACAACGATAATTACCAATCTTGTTATCAGATTCTCTACATCTGGTAGTGTCACCACTGCTACTGGACTGTATATACTTATACAACAATAAATACCAATCTTGTTATCAGATTCTCTACATCTGGTAGTGTCACCACTGCTACTGGACTGTATATACTTATACAAATATAATTACCAATCTACTTACCGGACTGTTTGTATCTGGGAGTGTCACCACCACTACTGGACTGTGAACTTAATGACAGCTGTTTCTTGAAACTCCCTTGCTGACTCAATCTTCGAACGTTGCGAACTACCTTGGACCTTTTACATTGAAAATATACCATTATATATAAAAAAGGCTGTATAGACATGAGTTTTGATCAAAAATGTTTCTTATTTGTTGAAAGAAAGTTCACTTGAAAGATAAGAACAGGACAGAGTGCTCTGTGATTTACAAAATTAACAATTTGTACACTGCACGAGTAGAAAAATTATACAATTGGAAATATGAAGATGTAATCAAGCTTTTGTTTCAATCAGAACATAATATAAATATTACTGACATTTGTAAATAAAAACCTCTAAAAATTACTTTTTCAGTTACCTAGCTAAAGAATCAAAAATAAAATTATGGTGTATTGTATTTATAAGATTTTTTTCCCAACAGAATAACAAGATTGTGAATACCATTACATATTAACAATAAAGCTTGCATTCACTCATTGTAAACTTAAGAAATTACAACTTTAAAGTACTTCAAAGAAAAGCATGTTCCACTTAACGTACAGATATCAGCAAAAAATATTTTAATAAACTACTAAGTAATTACTATTCAAAAGAGTCTGTAAAGACACATAAATTATGACCAATAAAGGACAGAAAAAAACAAGGTTAACATACACAGCTGGAGACTGCAATGGCATTACATCATCGCTCCTCTCCCAAACGTCGCTCACATCAAAAACATCCTCATTTTCAGAGTTTCCTTCTTCTTTACCCTGTACGTCAATGGTACCAATGAATTTAACTTCTACACATGAGTTATTCATAACTGCATGTTTTTCTCGTACTCGCTTTTTTTTTTAAATACAATTTACAATTAAATATGCATCTCCACGTTATTTCCAAAAATAAAAAAACAGAGTGGAAATGAAAATTAATGTCAGTGATAATTATATTTTATGACGTTAAAATATAGACAAGAGAAAATACAACGAATATTAAAAGTACAGTTAATAAGTTCTGAAATATTTCCCAAAGCCCTTCCCATGAAATTTCTATTTAGAAATAACCTTTTTCTGATATTCATAAGCTTTTGATTTGACCGTGTTAATATCAGACAAAAGCAATAATACAGACATCAGAAACTTAAAGAGATAGCAGAGGTATCTAGAATAATTATTTTCTACAATATATAAAGTAACTGCTGGATTTCATTGTTTATGTTATGATACTCATTCTTAAGTAAGTGGTAATTGGATATCGGGACTTGGAGTAGCCATATGGTTAATATGTTGGGACTTGCAATAGCCTAGCCGTATGGTTTATATTTTGGAGCTGCAGCTTGGAGGGTTTCGAAACTTGCTTTTGCTGAAAGAGATTCACAGTTGAGCTGAAGACATTATAAAAATGTGACTGGATCCTATTATTTGGTTCAAAGAGCTGGGTAAAACCCTCACTGTGACGAATGCTGCTGAATGCTGGTTTCCTTCCCCCTGGCTAATAGTAGTAAATTGGAGTTGGCTGTACCTAAATCCCAGGGATCTGTGAGCCAGCCATTTATCCCGTGTGTGTGTGTGTAAAGTTTAGTTCATGTTGATAATCCTACTTTGACAAATTTATTCCGTCTAAAATGTATATTTCAGCAAACTTCTCTGTGGACCAAAAGGTGACAATGTTGTGAGTGTAATCCAACACTTTTACTCCTTGTTCAAGTCCTTTATCTGTCATTAGATCGCACCTTCGGAATTCCTGAGATCAATCAAAGAAATCATGTTTTCACAGTGTATTTTTGTTTCTTATTACTAGAACCCTAACTGTACATGGCAATATGAAAGTATTCTAGTACTAAAAAATACAAAACCCTATAAACTAAACTCTTTTAAAAGCTCACATGTTATAATGTTTCATATCTAATTGATATTTTGAACCTTTGTATTCCTAACATCATGAAGTAATCTAGTATTGATATCATTAGTTCCAAGTACGTAAAGTTTTCAGCTTAGTTTAGGTGGAGTAGCAAGTTTAATTGTGCCAAATCTTTTAGGAGCTGCAAATGGTAGAATCTAAATAGAGTTGGGCAACATTCCAGTCTCTATGCTTAGACAGAGTCGGGCAACATTCTAGTCTCTACACTTAGATACAGTTGGGTAACATTCCAGTCTCTACACTTAGATAGAGTTGGGCAACATTCTAGTCTCTACACTTAGATAGAGTTGGGCAACATTCCAGTCTCTACACTTAGATAGAGTCAGGCAACATTCTAGTCTCTACACTTAGATACAGTTGGGTAACATTCCAGTCTCTACACTTAGATAGAGTTGGGCAACATTCCAATCTCTCCAATTAGACTTTCAACTGATGAAAGCCTCAGCAAAACAGAAATTAAAATGTTAAAGCTCACCTTGAACACAAACCGTCCTCACTCATATTAATTGGAATGAAAAAAAAAATCTATTCATTTTGATTAGAACAAGTTTTAAAATTTCACTATAACCCTGTAACATTCAGAATTACAAAATGGATTATAGTCACGTAACACATACATTGCCAAAAAATAGTTTCAAAAGGAAAACCTAATCCAGCACCATTTTCACTTCTTTTAGGTTAATTCCTAGGGTTACTTCCTTTAAGAATAAAGTTTTAATATGTAATTAAAAAATTTAAATGAAAACCTCTCTGAATAAATAGAGTTGTTTAAACATTTGTGAGCGTAAAACACTTAAATACACCAGTTGAAAATCTCTCTGTTATCACCTTATTCATTACAATTTTATGAAAGTAGCTTAACTAACAATAAAAGTTTGATTCAAAAGGCAATTTGTACGAAAACAAAATATTGCTTGACAAGTAAATCTCTCTCCGAGCTCTACACATACGAGAGTTTTGCCCAGATCTTTAGCCAGATGATTTGCTTCTTGGAGTTGGAGAGTTAGGGCATACAGTTCACAAGACTGGGATCTGTCACCATGGTAACTAGGAGTGGAATTATCCAGGTTTGTCTGTGCCACTTGTTTTTTTAAAGTGTCCAAATCCGTGAAAACATCAGAGTACAAATCTATCATCTCCTCCAACAGGTTGGACTTGAATGGTGAAATCTGAAGAAATGAGATATAATAATAAAATCCCTATTATTCATTAAAATCTACCTGAACTGGACAGTGTTCGATAGGTAAAACATTCTGACACCTTGTTCATGCTCTAAATGACAATACTTCTACATCATCTATCAATAACAATTTTAAAACATAATAAATGTTGTAAAAAAACCTTAAACTGTATGGAAACATTTATAAGTACAGTATTTTAACTAAAGTATATATATTGTAAAGTACTCAACAGTTAAATGTCCTGCTTGCCGGTTTAGGGTTCAGGTTTTGTAGATCAGAAAAAAGTCACTTAATCCTTTCTGCATTAAATTCAAAATTTAATTAAACCACTTTACTATCAATAAATGTCAATAAAACTAACATTATAATATATGTTATAATTTGAATTTTTATGTTATCTAAGCTTTAATTACTTTGTTTCAAAGGAAACCTTTCAAAAAAATACTTAAACTGCAGTTTCGTGTCATGTGATCCATGTGCTACGAAAAATCTCGCCTTTAGCAGCAGTTCACTTTTAGCCACATAAAATGGCAATGTACAGGAGTATGTAGTCCCTAAGTACATGTGTTTGACCTATATGATACGTGAGATCGTATGTAGTCCCTAAGTACA